AAGGATGAGCAAGGGTGAGCAAGGGTGAGGGGGTGAGGCTCCAGAAACCCCCAAATCATACTACTTGTGTTTATAAATATTTCCTTATTTTTAGACTTCAAGTTTTGTAGTTTGTTCGACTTTCGCATTTTATATAAGTTTCACTTTAAACTTCTTTTAGTACATACATAAATTTAAATATATTCGGATGTGCGGAATAAAAGCAACTGTTAAATTTGCTGTGAAATTTTACACAGCAATTAGAAGGTAGTTCGTTCTAAAYTATACTGGTATATTCAGCCCACATTGTTTGTGGAAGTGAGCTATCTTTTTCAATATAATTTTTAAAATATAATCGAAGAATTCATCAATTTTTTCATTTAAAATATTAATTATGATATTAAATATTTCATTTATATTRTATTGTATTTTGATTTTTCGTAAGTCTGTATCGGGAACCAATTCGGACGTGTGCCGCCAACCTAGAATATCGGGATACAATTCAGATATCAATTTTTAGGTGTGGGAACCAATTCGGATGCAGCCATTCTAACACTAGCTATATTGTGGGTTTGTTAATTGTAAATCTGACATTTAATAAGCGTCTTACATTTCAATGTGATTATRTCATCTTCATGTTACAGCGACATTTTAAGAAACCACTATAGTTTGTAATAAATGGACTACTAGACTCAATTTTACAACACAGAGTACTATACTCATTATTATGCCTTTTATAGACGCTAAAAATGCAACTGTATATTTAGTGACCACCCTTGTAACTAGAATATCAATTAACCATTCTCTTAATAGTATTGATTAAAGTTATACTTTTACRRTAAAACTATTACCTTTCAAACCTAAAATAGTTTTATCCAGAGCATTTTAATTAGGTTAAATTTGATAATTCATAACTATGGTAATATTCATATTGAATTAATTGGATGGGAGCAAACATCAACAGGGGAAACTGTTGCAATACTCAGCTCCCCTGTAGTCACGTAAATGTCTTTGACAAATTTTCAATAACTAAATTGAATTGATTAAAAGTAATAGAAATTAAAATATAAGACAAATGTAAGGCATTCAATAAAAATGTATTTAAAATAACATAAGAATATAAATTTGAAAAAAAACAAAGAATAGATATTTTCTGTTTATTGAAAAAAAAAACCATACAATATATAATATAATATATTTAATATGTAAATAATAAATATATATTCTTAAGAATATGTGATAGGTAAAAACATTACGCAAGGTTAATTTTTTTTTTTTAAGCTGTAAATCTAAACTAATTTAATGTTACATTATGCTACTAACTAATAATAATAAAAAAGTAATTAATAACCACAAAATGAGCTTGTCATTTGGGTAACACAAAAGGATGAGCCAGGTCCTCATTTAACATGAGGCTACCTTACAAAGTGACACATTTGCCGACTCTGAAGTGTACTGGCTAATGTAAAAATAGAAAAATCTAACATAATTATTACAAAACATACAAACATAATTGTATTATTTTATGTTTAATATACACAAAATATCATATAGAAGTTAATATATATATTATATATTTATATATATATATATACTTATATAAAATAGTTATAATAAACAATAATAAAAAAAATTGAACAGACTTATCACAACGGTACTAAAATTATATTTTCATATAGTCAGTAAAAGTTTGAATTTATAATTTTTGTTTAATTTAATTCAAAAATGTTGGTCTCCCTCCAAATTTTCTTCCCCAGAGTTTAGAGCTTACTGGTTTGATTATTATTGTTGTAATTATATAGTTATTATAATTATTATAATTAATAACAATAATAATATAAATTATTTGGTTATGTACATGCATAAATTTTTATTTGACTATAAACTAGAGATACTGGAACTTTTAAAGCATATATTGATAATAAGAGAAATTGCTAAATTTTAAAGGTTTAATACAATCAAGAGTACCTAACAAAATGTGTCTGAGAATTTTTTGTTGATTAAATTGTATATTATAATAGTAAATATTAGATATAATTCTTAATCTACTGTGTCAAATTAATAATAACCTTCTTAAAGTTTATAAAACCTTAAACTACATCATAAATATAATATTACAAAAAGGAATATTTTGAGGGTTATTTTTGAAAATAATGTTACATGCATTTTTGAATTTCAGACTTAAAAGAGACAATGAATTGACACCATTTATTCTTGTTTTTTTTTGTGCATGTGTATATTATGTTACGTTCTACGGACAGATTATTCCAATGTCACCCTGGACATCATAATACCGCCACGTTTACATAGCCAGGCACTAAACATAAAAAAAAAATTATAAATTTAACGATATAACAAAAATTATAATAAAGTCCCATACCCAACACCAGCTCCAAGCAGTATGGATAAAATATTGGTCAGGAACAAAGTATACAAAACTTCTTTAGAAAAGAGGCCGTCTTTGCCAACCTTAGCGTTACGCATACTGTATGTCTTCTTCTTAGGATGAATGAATTTCCAGTTTCTACAATAAAATAATTATTACAAATTTAAAAAAAAAAAAAGTGATAATTTTAACCACAAATTAAATGTACAAGTTTTAAATGGTGAGTGGATGCAAAAAGTTATTTTGTTATAAAGTTAGTGATCCACCAATTTCTTGTTTGATGCAATATACAATTCACAAAAACTACTAACAAACAATTTACTATTTACTAATTATATACATAAGTTTCTAAAATACCTGCCATCTAGTGAAATATATTATCCATATTTAAATAAAATGGCTGATTTTATTTAAAATTACAAAAAATATAAAAATATAATCAAGTAATTTCAGTTTAAACTGTTTAAAATAATTAGTAATCTTTAATTGTATTGCAATAGTTTAAGAAAAATTTAAAAACAATCAATAAATGTACCAATTCCACAAAATTGTAAAGTATTTTATTAATTTTTAGATCAAATTTTTAATGACAGATTTTAAATACCTATACATGATTAATAATTATATATAATTACTTGGGAGGTGCCTGGTCTGGTCGGCTACTCCAATCCCAAATCCAATCAGTACTTTTGTCCAAGTTGTACAATTCTCCACCCTGTAAAATCAATTGCATATATATTATTATATATTGTATAACCAATTATAATTTTAAATCCACACTTGTAAAATAATATTTACAGATTGTGTATACTTAAATAAATGATAAAAAAAAAATCCAAATTAAATCCTTTTGAATTTGTTATTATCTTACAATGCAGTTTATACACATGTTCAAGTTAATCATTAATGGAGGTACMATTTAGGGATAATGTCTATAAGCTTTAACAATCACTATCCATCTAAAAGAAGGTAGATAATCTATTAACATATGAAATAGATTTCAAATTATCATAAACTAAAAATGTTATATTCTACAAACCACTTAAAACCTAATGTTTATTATATATGGGAACTTGATAAGAAAAAAAAAAAAAGAGATGAGCAGTAATTGTGAATCATTTATTTAGCAAACATGGTTTAAATATAAAAGTGAATCATTTGACATTACAAAAAACAAAACAATTT